GTCTGGATAAAAATATTAGCAGATGTCATAAAATAAACATACTATCATCACTTCTCTTTTTTCCTAAACCTTTGCTATTTCCCTTTTTGTAATGTAACCGAATTATCTCTATTCGCCGAAAGATCGAAACAAACTTGATTACCGAACCCGATATAAATTTGAAACGCAGAAATAATCAAAGTACCGAAAGTGTTTGTGGCAAAGCACGTAGCGTACTTCATTAACAAAGTCCTTTTTCTACAGCTTATTTTAAGGTAATTATCAGTCTTCTTTAGAGTCAACATTTCAGTCGCAATTTCTCTGGTCGATATAATGATCTTTTCTGAATATACAATCTATTATCAAGTATATGGATTGGCGTTTTTCACACAAATATTTGTTAATTTTTCACACTGAATTTTCTATACATGCTTTACCGTTTACTCGATCATGACAAAGGGCACATACAGAGGCGGTGTGATCTGTCGACAGGGATGCTTACTCCTCCATGGCACCTGATCCCATCCCTGTTTTAAGAGGCCCGTTTTCGCTCTATCGTTTGATAAGATATAAACATACCACCGAGTTTTGGCCGATTACGTAGCAATGATAATACAAGTAATAATAAAAATGGTTAAACTTAAAAGCTGGTCGCCAGGATTGTCAAAAGACTTCCTATTTTTGTGCTTTCAGAGACATTTTACTCTGAAACGGAGTAGGAAACATTTACTCCCAAAGTTACATGTATCCATATAATGCAAAAATCGTCATGTTTATACAATTGTGGCGTTTTTCAATCTTTGAGTGCCATTTTTTAAACAAGTTGGAGAGTGTATCAAAATAATAAAGAACAGTTAAAGATGAAAATTATTCAAAAGATCTTGCGTATCAGATGGTGTGAAACGGTGAAATGAAATAAATACGGAGATAACAGAAAATATTCAAGTTCAAATCAATTTAAACAATACAAAGCGGAAGCAGACAAACAGAGACCTCCAAAATATCAGAGGCGGGATCAGGTGCCATGGAGGAGTAAGCATCACATGGCGATCGATCACACCCGCCTTGTGCTCCTTGTCATGATTGGGTATACTAGTATACGAAAATACCCGTAGGCTTTTCGGGTGTAAATAATGGCCTTATAATAAAAAGGAAAACATCTGAGTAAATTTTGAACTTGGATAAAGATCTTGAGAAGCAAATAAGTTGCCCGGGAGATATAAACACCATAGCGGAATACTAATACATGTACTTACGAATAAATGTATAAATTCATATTATTTCCATTACAAGTAAACAAAGAAAGTTGAAAATGGAAAAGCAGAAGATATCTCATAGTCATACAGTTAAGTTGTTAGTTGACCTTTGTCGTTTTAAGCCAGTAAAGCATCCACATATGAAACAGATGTGTCATTTCGAGGTTCACTGTGATATACCGGTATAACGTCGACATATGTATGTACATTTCGATTGTTATTTGCCGTTAATAAATCTGAATGTCGAGCTGAAGGCCACTGCAAGGTTTGTTGTCTTTCGTTTCATGTAGGAACTTTTCAATAAATTCTGCTTCATAGGAATCTAAAATCAGGTCTTCTAGTTAAGGGACACAACAAGTATCCACCAATAATTCGTTGAAAAACTATATAAATATTGTCAGTGAGGAACTACAGCACCTTTTTAATGAAACATATGGAGATAACGAATAATATTCAAGATCAAAAGTCCATAAACAATACAAAATAGGAGCAGAGCAAACACGGACCTCCAAATCACCAGAGGTGGGATCAGGTGTCATGGAGGAGTAAGCATCCCCTGCTGACCGGTCACAACCGCCGTGTTCTCTTTGTCATGAACAGGAAATAACGGAAAATCCGTCGTCAAGGTAGTGTATTAATAATGGACTAAACTTAAGTATGAAAAACGTCAGTCAGCATTTTACTCAATGATACACTGTATCTGCTGACAAGGTCATTGAATCGACCATAGAACTTACGAAAAGATGACTTTAAACGAGACTGTTGATATTCTTGTCTCATCAACTTGAATTGTTTGTCAAAAATTTACCTCGTTTTAGACATTTTTCATACTTAGAACATGCTCTTTCATATCGAATCAACTGAGATATATAAACTCCGTATGCAGGTGATGAAGGTATACTGCTGCATAAGTAAGTGAAGTTGACGATAGAAAAGTTTAAGTCATCACGTCTACCATAGAGCTTGGTTGTTAGATTACCATTAGTGTCTTTTTCAAGTAAAATATCCAAGTATGAAGCAGATGTGTCAGACTCTGTGGTATCTTTTATCTCAAGCTCACCAGGAATATCGTATTACATAGGAATAGAAATTACATACCATTGTTAACTGACAGTACGTCGTCGATATATCTAAATGTCGAGTTGAAGGCCACAACAAGTGTTTTCTTCTTTTCACTTATAAAATTTTGCACAAAGTCTGCTTCATATGAATACAAAAATAGGTCTGCTAATAACGGAGCGCAATTGGTACCCGTGGGGATCCCAACAGATTGTTGGAAGACCTGTTCTCCAAAAACCACATATATACATATTGTCAATCAGAATAATCTTTTTTATGTCAACTTCAGAGTACCTGTGTGTGCAGTCAGAATGTGTTTTAACAAAACAATTTTGCAAATGACCAATGACCAGGTTCCATTTTTATTGAAAAAGCAGCTGTCAATGATATCAAAAAGCCTGGACTTTAATTTATCGTGGGGAATGGTTGTGCATAAAGTTGAAAAGTCGTAAGTTTTTAAGGCAATTTAAGCTGTTGATTTTGGTAAAATCTTGAAATTTTAAATGGTCCAAAAGTTCCTTGGAATTTTTGAGTATCCACATCTGATTCACACCATTTCTTGAATATATCTTTGCACAGTACTCTTGAAGTTTCTGCTTCACTACTGTTAATATGTTCGTGAGGAGTAAATATCATTTTCAGAGTACTTGTGTACAGAATCACAAGCTTTGAAAATTTAAGAATTCCTGTTTTAATTGAAGAAGCAGTTGTTTGTGATATGAAGATAACTTATTCTATTATTTGTGTTATTAATATGAACCTAAATAGGAAAAATCATTGTAAGAAATTCTTTGTTTTTTTTATTATTAAAAACAATTCATTACATATAGAATAACATGCAACATTAAATTTTCTTAATTTCTTGAATATTTTCGAAGAATTCAAAACAGGTTTATTTGTTTGAAAGATGTGTGCTTGTTTCAAATTTATATCCAAATGTAAACATGCATGAAAGAAAATGTGTTTTAAGTAATGACCAACGTCAAAAAAGTATTATTAATTTTTACGTAGGGCACATGTGTGTTTGCGTCCATGAGCTGTTCGTGTCGGTTGTAGTTCGCCTCCGCCATCACCGTTATATAATGTGATAAATGAAAGGCATTAAAATTGGGTAGTTTAACACTAGGAATTATAAAAAATACATAAATTGTTGACACTGTGTCTCTGCATTATTTACAATATGACACCGATCGACGAATCATCGAAATACAGAAGATAGTGTGAATTATTGTTTATTATTGACGAAATTATTAATAACAGAGATCAGCCCGATCTTGCTTGTTGCTTCACAGTTTAATGAAAACTGCTTCACAAAGTAACACCGATATTGCTACACCTCTGTGTTTCACGTAGAATTTTAATGAAAGATTCTGTTTGGCAATAATGTCAAATTTTCAACTTGAGCAAGAAAAAAACCACATGTCTACAGAAAATACGGTACAGTTTTTCAAATTTTTAAAAGTGAGAAAATTTACATGTACACTGTATTCAAAGAAGTTTTCACATTTCACTGCTATAGTGGAAACACTGGAATTCCTCCATTTATTTTAGCAATTTTTATCCGATAACGTAATAATAAATGTTAGGGATAAAGGACCCTCTGATCGAAAAAGTAAGACTTCAAAATTAATGAGCGATTGGTGACCCAACTCCATGAACTTTAACAAAAAGAAAAAAAAAAACAAGAGGCCCATGGACCACATCGCTCACCTGAGTAGCTTTAACCATGCTGTTCTTTACCAGATTTCCCCATAGTAATAAATATTGTGACCCCACCCTACCCCTGTGGGTCATAATTTGGAAAATTTAAAATCTACACTACCCCAGGATGCTTTCGCATAAGTTTAAGCTTTTCTGGTCCAGTGGTTCTTGAGAGGATTTTTCCTATATATTTCTATTAAAAATTTGATTTCCTATTGTGGCACCGCCCTACTCCCGCGGGTCACGATTTTACAATTTAGAATCTACACTACCCCAGCATGCTTTCATATAAGTTTCAGCTTTTCTGGCCCAGTGGTTTTTGAGAAGAAGATTTTTAAAGATTTTTCCTATATATTTCTATGTAAACTTTGATTCCCTATTGTGGCCCCGCCCTAACCCTGCGGGTCATGAATTTTACAATTTAGAATCTACACTACCCCAGCATGCATCCACATAAGTTTCAGCTTTTCTGGCCTAGTGGTTTTTGAGGAGAAGATTTTTAAAGATTTTTCCTATATATTTCTATGTAAACTTTGATTCCCTATTGTGGCCCCGCCCTACCCCCGCGGGTCATGATTTGAACAATTTAGAATCTACACTACCCCAGCATGCTTTCACATAAGTTTCAGCTTTGCTGGCCCAGTGGTTCTTGAGAAGAAGATTTTTTAATGACATCACCCTATTTTTGTCTTTTTCTTGATTATCTCCCCTTAGGAAGGGACCTGGCCCTTCATTTTAACAATTCTAACTCCCCTTTACCCAAGGATACTTTGTACTAATTTTTGTTAAAATTGGCCCAGTGGTTCTTGAGAAGTCCAAAATGTGAAAAGTTTACAGACGGACGGACGACGGAAAAAAAATTGATCAGAAAAGCTAACTTGAGCCTTCGGCTAAGGTGAGTTAAAAAGAAGATATAAAGCTAATAAAGAGAACGCAGATATGGATTATTTTTAATACAAATTTATTAGACATGCTTGCAAAAATCTTTTTAAAAAGTTCCTTCACAAAATAATTTCATTAATACATTATATATGCTCAAAATTTTATCTACTGCGCATTGACATCATTAAAATGCATAGCAATGATCAAAGTCACAGAACAGGTGTTATTAATTAATTATACAGTTTAAAAACTGAATGTTAAACTACGATGAATTTTCACTTTTCATTTCTAGGTTATTACTCTGTTCAAGTACAAATAGTTCCAACTGTACGTACATCTTTTCTCCTATAAACATCTTTTCTCCTATTAACGAAAAAGTGCATTTAAAATGCTCCACTGCCCTATTTATTACATCCTATTATAAAGTCCTTCATTATAAATGTCCTATTGGCCCAATTTTTCCGCAAAAAGAGGACGACCTTAATAAAAATCAAGGCTTGAAATACAACATGCACAATTACACACGTAGAGACACGAAATCAGACTTTACGCTCTTCAAACACCATACAAATCTTTTTGACGGACTTAATAGTTTTATCAATTTTAAATGACCCCGGGAGAGGGAGTGTCCTTGACACCTTTACTAAGGCCGAGCTGTGGGTCGTGGTCTTTTGATGACTACTATTTGTTTTTGATTGTATATGTTAATAAGACCCTCGTCACGTATGCTCTCGCTAGGATGTGTTGATAGGGAACGCTTCATATCTGCATGAACACCCAAGATGTTTTCTTCAATGTCGAGGTGATTTTCTCCCCTTACAATTCGGAAGGCTCCCTCCTCACCCCATTTCGTTCCCCAACTGTTCAAGCATATCTGAAATGTAGTTTAACACAAATATTTTAAAACAGGAGCTTTTCCATGTTGGTTTTCACAAACTTCAATCAATATCCAGTATACTATTTTTACTTTACCCAATATTTTCGAACACGTCCTTTGTTATCGATATCTTCTCCCCATCTGTAAGTTTAGAACAAATATGTTTTATTCAACTCCAAAATGAAAAAAAACCCTCTTTCTTTATACTTTAAGTTTTATTAATTTACCCTATTATCCTGACCGCCAACTTGCTCTGTACGAGATCCGCCCCTGTGTGTCTGTACACACCAGAACGGTACATGAAGAGGTCAGCAGACACTTGTAAGGTGGCTACAAACAAATCTTACGACATAATTATTTCAGAACTGGCAAAGTCAAACAGGAAGCTTAAAGCTCAAATGCCAACACATTAATCAAAAACCTCATAGTCTTAAAGGTCTGAATGAAATATGAAGATATTAATAAAAAATAAGTCATCACGAATGTCCATTCATAATATATATATATATATATATATATATATATATATATATATATATATATATATATATATATATATATATATATATATATATATATATATATAAATCAGGAGCACAGCAAAAACGGACCACTGAAAAGACGTTGGTGGGATCAGGTTCCATGGCGGAGTAAACATCCGCCCTTTACTACTTGTCATGATCGAAAAATATCTTACACTTTCATATTGAGTACCTTTTTTGTCGAATATAAAACTATAAACGAGTTAATAGCTTTATACCCAAATTATGGGGTTTGCTCAGCACGTGACAGAATAATATTCCTTCTCACCATGTTGCATTTAGTCGCATATACGAGTACATGTTGTTATACAAATGGGTGAGATTTGCAGATAATTCTTATTATTTAATACTTTTTTATTGAGATATGGAGATAACGAAGAGTATTCAAGCTCAAAAGTCCATTAAGCAATACAAAATTGGAGCATAGCAAACACGGACCTCCAAAACAACAGAGGTGGGATCAGCTGCCATGGGGGAGTGAGCATTCCCTGCTCACCGGTCATATCCGCGTGCTTCTTGTCATGATCGGGGAATAACGGAAATTTCGTCGACAATTCAGTGTGTAATTGCCTAACAATTAAGTGTAATAAATAATGAACTAACAATTAGTATGAAAAACGTTAGTCAGCATTTGCCGTGATGATAAATTGTATTTACTGACAAGGTCATTTTATCGACCATTGAACTTACGAAATGATGACTTTAAACGAGACTGCTGATATACTTGTTTCATCATCTTTTTTGTCAATAATTTACCTCGTTTTAGAAATTGTTCTTACGTAGAGCATTGTCTGATATAATATAGTACTTGAAAAATATATGAAAAAAATCGTCTTGGCCGTGAGTAGGAGAGAGCTATATGCGGACTCCAGATCTTGGCTTGAGACGATGTATGCAGGTAATAAAGATATATTGCTGCATGAATAAGGGAAGTTGACGATTGTAAAGTTAAAGTCATCATGTTTATCATAAAGCTTGGTTAATGGATTACAATTATTATAGTTTGCAGCTAACTGTAAAGTTTCACGTTACGTCACGATCTTTTTCGGCAGATGCATCCAGCGTAAACAATTCACGTGATTGGTCAACTCAAATTATCAACACTGACACGTAAATAGTCTGTTGCACGAGCAACCAATCAGGGATAAGAACAAAGTTCCAGTCGTAAAGCTTGCGGTTAGAAGGCGTGTACAATTTACCTTAAGCGCAGCTGTCAACTAGATCGTGACGTAATTTAAGTTTTGGGTAAACATGCAACATAAGGTATAGCTGCCTTTTTTCTAATGATGGCCGATCAGTTTGCTCAAGTAACCCTTTTTGTTCACCTCGACTAAAGTCACCGTGATCCTGAAAATTGCAGAATTAAACCACAGATCTTTTGGAAACATGGAAATCAAATGAAAGATGGAAATCAAAAAGATGGAAATCAAATGAATTAAAACTAAAATTGAGTTTAACAACCTCGACAGCACTGGCATATACAGAAGTCAAAGAACGTTTGGTGTAAAGTTGTGAGGAAACATGTATAACAGGGACTAAAATAAAATAGATTCCATACATCACAATATTGGGAGATCAGTCAGCTAGTCTCACACTAATTCCTCATTGTGATTACTTAGACACTCAAGACAAGTTTTTTCGGTAAATGCTGACAAAATCTTTGTTATTAAATGTTTGTACAATACATTTATCTCTATACCTGGCATTTAAAGAATTTCATCCTTGATTTGTCTTACACAACAGTGCCAAAAGTACGCAAAACTATGAATTATATAACTTAATTCACAGTCATAAACTGTCAAGGTATCAACACAGTAGGTTCATAACTGTCAAAGTGTGCAATAAAAATGCATATCTTTTTAAAGCCAAAAAATTCAAACAAAGTTTATGTTGATAGATGTCCTTTTCTTTGAATCCCTAGGTTCCTCATGAGATCTTGTGATGTTCAGAGGACACAAAAGTACCAGATATCCAGCTAAGACGATAAGACTAACTCGCCATTTGTAAAAATATGAAAAACTAGTAGTATAAAAATAGCTAATATTCTTTTAGCAAATACAACTACTAGTATTAAATATTATTTGGGTAAGTTAATATTTATTTTCGTCAAATTATTTCCCGATCATGACAAGGAGCACACGGCGGGTGTGACCGGTCGGCAGGGGAAGCTCACTCCTCCATGGCACCTGATCCCACCTCCGATGTGTTGGAGGTCCTATTTTGTATCGTTTTATGGACTTATGGTGTTGAATGCTATTCATTATCTTCATATGTTCCATCATATCAATTTGGTAGTATTTTCTGATAGATCTTATGCTGTGTTCCTTTATATTTAAAACAATAATATTTCAGATCAGAAGAGGGTACTTGTATCACATGATTGACAAAAGTAATTTTCAATACTTGGAATTGACGGGAATATAGCACCAAATAAACAATCTCAGCATACCTTGTACTGGTCCCCTCTTATATATCTCTGTTTTAATTTCTTCTTCCTATCACAGAAAGTGGAATGATAAGTTCGTTTGGGTGGGAGTAAATGAATACATGTGTGGTACAAAAAGGGTATACGACTGTAATCTAAAGAGTGATGGTTGTCAAACACTGGATCCTTTAAATGCATTCCTGGTATTATGTGTTCTATAATGATGTAAAAAGTGATCTTGACCTCATTTGGTCACAAATACGATCTCATAACAGCAGAGAAACCGGTCTATGAAGTTCATACTCACACTATCCCCGACTCTGTACGGTGGTGTAACGTACAGGACAATTTTGGACGTGGAAGAGTTGGCGTTAGGACACGTGTCCATGTTGTCCAGGCATCTGTCGGCAGCAGTGTTCGATTGAGTGACGTTATAAGGATAGCACTCCTCAGTCATGATACTAAAAATAGGTCTGGCTGAATTAGACAAATTAAATATATCAAAACTTATTTAAATGAAAACAGTTAAAGGGATATACCCTCTTCGTTTGATGAACCACCAAGCCTTTTCTGCAGATCCGCCCTCGCATCCTCTCTGTTTCCGCCTTTTGTCACATGACAGAAGATGCTGCGGTGAGAGCTGATTGGTCAGTAGCCCTTTGGATTCAATTGCCAATCTGTCAGCCGCAACGTCTGGGGAGATAAATGTAAATTTTGAAAGGCAGATATTTTCACAGGAAAATTTTATTACGGCAGATGGCACTCTGTGTAAAATTTACCTACTGTGGAGAAAGCCCAGGAAGATGCACAGTTTCTTTGGTCACGGACCGGGTGTATCCATGATTTCCACTTTTCTCTACAGTCGAAAAAGGACGGGAGATCACTCTGTATTTTATTCTGAAGCGAAGACATGTTCTGAGCTTTGCTTTCGGTTGCTATGCCAACGTTTTCTTTGATTCCATCAGTGAACGTTTTATTCCAGAAACGAGTGTAGTTTGCCGTTTCCCATCTGCAGAAAGCATTTAAAATGCATGAAATGTAAACACTGCACTTTATAAAATCTTAGACATCTACAAAGTGCCACAGAAGTAAACAAAAGTTAACTTAACATGGAAACCTACACGTTTGAAAAATGATCGATTAAAGTGTTGCTCTCTCTCTCTCTCTCTCTCTCTCTCTCTTACCCTAGGTTTTGTGCCGATTTGTTTAAGCGTTCAAAGTCGATCAGACAGGAATTGTTTGAACACACCCAGTCGTAGCGAAATAACTGTACCTGTGAACATGTGCTAGAAAAAGAAAACAAAAATACATTAATTAACTAATTACATTTTCTTCTCTTGTCAAAATGAGCCTAATGAATATATAATGAATAATTATGATGGTGATGACAGACAACACATATGCTATGTTAGTATTCATATTCTTTACAGAATCTCTGAGAGTGAATTTCAAATTGGATCAAGCACTTTATTTAATATACATGTAGATTTCAAAATGCTTTTAGAATTGTGATACAGTAATTTCCAATTAAGACAAAAAATGGACACTTGCAGCAAAATTTGTATCGATTTTCATTTTGAGTCTACTAAACAGATTGTTTTTCAAAATTAGTTAATCCTGGTGAATTTTTGAGAATTTTTGAATTGGAATACAGAGCAGAATTGCTTCTTTCTTTTTGGTCAAATTCGTTAGATGAATACTAGAATACCTTGCATGCAGTGGGTTATTTGAAGAGTTAATTCAATAATAAGATGTAAGTCATTAAAAAAAAATATTGTTCTTAAAGTTTACAATTTCATTTTGTCAAATTAGTTAAATGAGGGAAATAAAATATAGACAGCTATAACCGGACATATATGTAACACATTGATTGTTATTTAACAGATTTAATGCAATCCACAAAAATGTCAGTGAGGGACTCGAGATAACCAATATAGTATTCAGGATTTCCTTGTGAAATAACATAAAAACATATCCATGTTGAAATTTAAAGAAAATCTTTATTCAAAAGTTTATTTCATCATTCATCAACCAATTAAAAAAAAAAAAACCATTGAATGTAAAAAAAAAATAATTAAAAAAAAAATTTAGGATTGAAAAAATTATGTCTAATATAATTTTTATGATATATGTATAAATAACATGAATATTTAATATTCATCATTTTGTTTCCAAAAACAAGATAAAAAAAAGAACAACAACAACAAAAGCCAAGAGTTTTTGGTTTTTAATATTTCAATATTTTAGTTTCATTCCATGCATTCCAACATTATTATTTTGTTTACATTTCTTTTGTGTTTACCTATTAATCATTTCGAGAAGCCAAAATAAGATTATTTATGTATCAGTGCTGATTTTCGAATATGTTAATGACGTGTCAAGAGATAAATCATCCCTCTCGTTATGAACAGTTATTATAGATTCCACAAACAGCTGATTGGCATCAGATGCTTCTATCTCTCTTTCCTCTGCTCCTTTGACTATAACAATACAGATTTATCACAACACAAATATTCTTTGAAGAAAACTATTTATCACAAGTATGGAAATCCTAGATTGCATCTTCCAGTCTGTCTGTACAACATACTGGACCTTTTTTATGATCAAACATCTGGCGTTTGAAACCGCCCTTGTCTGTTTCTTCTTCTATCAGAGAGGTCACTCTAGTTTTCTGTGTCTTTCAGTGTGAAAATGGTAAAAAAAAATTCCGCACACTGACCTACATTTTCACGCTAATAACCGTAATGTTTAGATATTTTTCTCATTTTTCTTCAGAACAGTGAATGAAATTTAAAAGATTAGAAGTAAACATTTAGTGCAAAGGCGGAGCTGTAAATTATTCATGTAGTAAGGCTAAAAACTTAAAAATATTACAAGAAAAACTTTGGTGATTAATTTTGACATTTCACATTAACATTATGACATTTGAAGTGCACCTGACAGTCGTTGATCAGTGTTAAGCATTTCAATCGTTGTTCATTGATAAATATTTTTACCCGACATCAATCGTTAAAATCTTAGTTTATCCGACACAGAATGTTAATTGTTTATCATTTTATTGTATTCCAATACACAATGTTCATAATTGTTAAACATTTTATCGTGTTCCGACACACAATGTTCATGAAACATTTTATTGTGTTCCGACACACAATGTTCATTGTTAAACATTTTATTGTTTCCGACACACAGTGCTCATTGTTAAATATTTTATTGTATTCCGACACACGATGCTCATTGTGAAATATTTAATTGTATTCCGACACAAAATGTTCATTGATAAACATTTTATTGTGTTCCGACACACGATGTGCATTGTAAAATATTTTATTGTGTTCCGACACACAATTGTTAAACATTTTTTTGTTACCAACTGCACCCGTCCAGCGATGTTCATTCAAAGACTTAGTACTAGTATTTACCGATAGACAACGTTAATTGTTAAAAACAGTGTTTTCCAACAGACGATGTTCATTGTTTAAAATTTTGGCATTACCCAATAGACCATTAATATTCAAAGTTAAACATTTTAATGTTTTACAACAGAGACGATGTTTATAATTAATGAATAATATTAAATAGTAAAGCGATTGTTTCGTTCTCTTTACTTTATCTTGATACATCAACACAATAGTTAAAGAATCATTGCAGTTCTGTCTTTTAGTATTCTTATATCTTACCAAACATTGCAGTTTTTCCTGATGACTTCACTGGGTTTGAACTCCTTACCATCAAATACACATCCCGCTGAAACATCGAAAAAATCTATTTAGCTCGAAAGATATCGATGCATTGTATCAATTTATCTTTGTGAGAGTTAAATACAAAGATAAACATTGCGAGGAAAAGAAATATCAAATTCATTTTAAACGTTCAGCTGTTATATTTGTACAATTATTTAATATGGTAATGTTTTTTTTAAATAAGATTGAGCCTGAATAATATACGTTTCTTGGTTCCTAGAGTAGTGTTCCAAATGACCAGATCTGTTTCATTTTGGATGTTTTACTAGCTGACTAGTATAAACGATAAGGGCCAACTAACAACAAACTTGTTTGACAAATTAAATGGAATGTCTTCAGCTTTTCTTTCGTCAGCTCTTTTTAATAATGCAGAAACATCTATATCCGCATATGGTGTTTACATTTCCTAACCTTTTAATTAATACTCACAAGTCACAAGCATGTTCAAGGCATACGATCAATTTTAAACCGAAGCAGCCTACTGACAGATAAGTTGATGTATCAGGAATTTCAACATCATCGTTTAAAATCGAAAATGCTATGCTCGTTTTGACGACCTCTTTAACAAATTCAATCTATGATTGGGTCGTATTTTAGCAAACTTATTTCATACAAATTATTATGTCTTTGATGCTTCACTCAATTTAACTACTGAGTGATCAATACGTAGGGTGAACGTAAGTTTCCAAAGCTAACTGTATCAACGTGTAAATTCTCGTTCCATTTTTGGTCCAAGTAGAAAAATAAATTTCGTCCAGAGCAGGCATGTAGCAACGGGGGGGAGGGGCTATCCCCACTTTTTTTCCCAACATCACTTTTACTATTGAAAATGTTAATGGAAAGGCTGGTATCCCCCTCCTTTCTACTACAGTAAAGTAATATGAAGGAAATGTAGCATTGTATGTAAAAAAAAAAAATGGTAGTGAAAGAAGTTTGCATTGAAAACAGTTGGCCTCTAACCCCCTCCTTCCCCCTCTCTGATAATTTAGAGGTCTACGTTCGCTTTGCTCCAAAACTATTATGTTTCGATACATTTTTTTAGCTTGGACAGGGCAAACACGGACCTCTAGAACATCAATGGTGGGATCAGATAAAATGAAGGAGTAAGCATCCCTTGGCCAACCGGTCACAGCCACCGTGTGCTCTTTGTCATGATCGGGAAATAATGTGAAAATTCTTCGACAATTCAGTGTGTAAATAATGGTCTTACAATTAGTTTGAAAAACTTCAGTCAGCATTTGACTCAAAAGTAAATTGTATTTGCTGACAAGGTCATTGCATCGACCATAGAACTTACGAAATGATGACTTTAAGCGAGACTGCTGATATTCTTGTTTCAACTATTTTGTCAATAATTTACCTCGTTTTAGATATTATTCATACGTAGAACATACTCTTGCGTATCGAATCAACTGAGAAATATCCATTTGCAGATGAGGAAGGTACATTGCAGCATAAGCAAGGGAAGTTGACGATTGGAAAGTTAAAGTCATCACATTTGTCGTGAAGCTTTGTTGTTGTCGATATATCTAATTACATGTAGCATGGGGAATTGTTGTATATTAAGTTGAAAGACCATTAACGTCCTTTTCAAGTAAAATATTTAAATATGAAAGAGATGTGTCGGACTCTGTGTTATCTTTTACTTCAAGCTCACTTGGATAACTCTGTGCAATTGTATCTTATTTCAAGTTCACTTGGATATATCGACATAAGAATGGAAATAATTATTGTTTATTGACAATTAATCGTCGATATCTAATTACATGTAGCATGGGGAATTGTTGTATATTAAGTTGAAAGATTTTTTTTGCTGTTGATTCTGGTAAAATTTTATGATTTCAAATTTTCCTAAAGTTCCTTTCACATCAGCTTAACACCACTTCTCGAATACTAGAACATTGTTGCACAGTACTTCTGAAGTTTCTCCCTCACTACTGTTAAAATTCCGTTATATTATTATGAAATATTTTAATATAAAGTTAAATATCATGTAATCAGAATGAAAAAAAAAGAAACCCTTACTCAGATAAAAAAGAGAGAATGCAGATTTGTATCTGATGGGGCGCCTCGACACACAAAGGAGAGCGAGACATTTTGTTTATATGAATAAGGATCTGCACACCTTCTTAATCAGTGCTACAGATTAGTTGCGGGGAAGGAAAGCAAGAATAATACAAACAAATCAGAGAAATAATCTCTCGGGTCAAATGAACTCGGATTTGAAATAATTCTTTTTTTCTTTTCTTTTTTCAGAAAAGGCATTTTGCTAAGAAATTAGGGAACTATAGAAAAACTATTGATTCATTTAATGAATAAAACTCTTTTTTATAGAAAAAATAAAATACAAGGGACCTACCTTTAATGACTGGGGGTGCAATGCCTTGACACGTGGTGCCATAATCTGGACAACAGTCATTCGACGTCCTGTTACAGAACACGTCACAATAGCAGAGACTCTCCAGAATCTCCACCGTGCAGCCGTCGTCCCTCCCAGAACAACACGGGGAGGGCTGCCGGGAGGAGCAAAATGACCCCGGGGCGAGGTCTGCTCCCCACTCGACGAACCGTCTGTACCTTCCCCCCGTACACAAAGGAAGCCCCGACAGAAACAGGAGCGGGAATAGCAGCTTCCTCATTCTGGCGCTAGACCCCGCGCGAGTTTCCCGCCAAAGTGTGATGTAAGTTAAGTATCTTTGTATTTATCTGCCCTTCTATCCATTAGCTCTCGGCTTTAGTTAGATTTACATTTGATACTTTAGTGGGAACTCATTCAGTCCACAAAGCAAGCAATAAACCTAAGTATTTTATCTCGGGAACAAACAAACAGACATAAGGATAAGGCGGTCGTTAATGTCATTCATAGGTCATTTTACACCTTAACAATTTGTGTGGCAGCGTCTGAAAGACTTTACATTACCAGACAAGAGTATATTTAAAAGTTTTCAATTTCCTATCTTATATTTACTCGGATTAAATTACCGGCGGCTTACAATCTTTTAAACTACAAATTATAAGTAATATATGTGTAGATGGTCGGATAGAAAACAGAAATACAGTATACAAATACAAGCAAATCAGAAATCAGTTACACTAAACTAATCAGTTTCTAGAATCTTATGTTCTGATATACTTCTTTTGATACTAAATATCTTATCTAAAATCAAGTTAAGTTTATGACTTTATTCTTTATATCAAAAATTAAACAGAAAAATCTTAAGTGTAACATTTTTACCAAAATCAACAGCTTTTAAAAACTTAAGACTTTTCTACGTTATACACAACCAATCACCATCACTCACTCACACTCACTCAGTCGTCCTTAGACGACCAGCGACATGTACGCTACGATGGTGAGCTTGAGATAAAAGATACCACAGGGTCTGACTCAACTGTATTATATTTGGATATTTTACTTGAAAAAAAAAACGTTAATGGTAATCTAACAACCAAGCTCTATGATAAACGTGATGACTTTAACTTTTCTATCGTCAACTTCCCTTACTTCTGCAGCAATATACCTTCATCACCTGCATACGAAGTTCATTTACTAGTATCTCAGTTGATTCGATACGCAAGAACATGCTTTAAGGTAGGTTTCTGACTAGATGGAATATTCAAAGTACATTTGTTGATATGTCTTATATATTTAGATGTAAGAGATTTAAAAGACCATATTTTTCTTTCCTCATCACATTTATACAACTTTAAATAGAAATGGTAAACTGCGTTTGAAAACTAGCAGGGACTATTTTTTGGTGGAATGGTGGCGTATGAAAATTTCTTCTTTTCTGCCTCTCAAAATTATTATAGAATTGAATTTAGTTACAATTTTTACGCAATCAAAGATTAGACGAAATTTTCAAATATAAGTTAAATTAATAATAAGGGACTAAAGTTTCAAAATATATCAAATAAATAAGATTTTTCACACATACTAGAACTATGTTGGTTTTTAAATGCTTTAAATCTAAGTACAGATTTGAGCCAAAAATCCGTAAAAAGTATTATTTCTCTCTTAGTAAACGATCAAACTTTTAGTTTTTGTATCATTTTGTACATTTATGTAACAACTTTACTATATGTGAAAATTGGAAAAAGTTAAATATAGAAAGCATATAAAAATAACTAATAAATCCTAAAAATTTAAGAAAAATAGAGGAAATTCGGATTAACAAATATCCATTTCATTTAAATTATCCATGTCAATTCGGTCATATCATCTTATAGGCCCTATATGGTATCTTTTTATCCAAAAAGAAAAACATTCAATCTTTTGAATTACAAGTAGGGATCGCATGATTTGAAACAGTAATTTTTTATTCTTTATGTCCAGGAAAAAGGTAATGATCTTGACCTGACCTTGCCTTTAATATTAAACGGTCAAATTTAATCTCACTGATACCATCACTTAGTGATATTGTCCTCTTGATTCTGTGAAAATTTCATTAATTTTTAAATACAAGAAATGTGAGAAGAATCCTACCTTAAGTATGAACAATTTCTAAAACGAGTTACATTATTGACAAACAAGTTGATGAAACAAAAATATCAGCAGTCTCGTTTAAAGTTGTATGGTCGATACAATGTCTTTGTCAGCAAATACGATTTATCATTGAATCAAATGTTGACTAACGTTTTTCATACTAATTATTAGTCCATTATTTATACTCTGAATTGACGACGGATTTTCCCGTTTGTTCTCGATCATGACAAGGAGCACACGTGACCCTAAAGGATAAGCATCCACCTGATCCCACCTCTGATGTTTTAGATCCTTGTATGCACATTTTGTAGTGTTTAAGAGAGAGAGAGAGATCGCCATATGTATCAGAGAGAGATTAGCTGACAGATCTATATTCAATAAAACATCCAAGTATGAAACACTTGTGACAGTCTCTAAGGTCTTTTATTGAGTTCACTGCTTGGAAGAATTATTAAACAGTGCATCTGAAGTTTTTCCATCACTGGTGTAAATATTTTAATAAGTAGTTAAGAAAGGAGTTAATTAGGACATTTTCTGCAACCCGCTACATACTGGTTGTTGTTTGTAAGGTGCCTAAAGGAGTAAGCATCCCCTGTTTGCATGTCACATCAGTAATATACATTTCGATGAGAGAGAGAGAGAGAGAGAGAAAGAAAGAGAGAGAGAAAGAGAGAGAGAGTCAATAAAACTAATGGGATAAACGAAAGATTGAGCTTTTATTTTAATTTTTTACTCCGGTACTGGTCCCTGTGAAATAAAACAAGAGGCCCATGGGCCACATCGCTCACCTGAGCACCAAGGGAAGGACTAGTATAAAATGGCTTTTTATTGTAAAGTTTAAATCCAAAAGTAGTCCCATGACCAATCATGGATTTGCTATTTTTTAGAAAATGATTGAGAAGAAGATTTTTAAAGAATTTTCCTATATATTTCTATGTAAAACTTTGGTCGGCCATTTTGGCCCCGCCCTAGCCCCGGGGGTCATGATTTGAACAAACTTGAATCTACACTACCTGAGCATGCTTCCATATATATATGATGAATTATGGCTTTGTCATTCTGGAGAAGAAGATTTTTAAAGAATTTTCCTATATATTTCTATGTAAAACTTTGGTCGGCCATTTTGGCCCCGCTTTACCCCCGGGGGTCATGATTTGAACAAAATTGAATCTACACTACCTGAACATGCTTCCATATAAATATGATGAATAATGGCTTTGTCATTCTTGAGAAGAAGATTTTTAAAGAATTTTCCTATATATTTCTATGTAAAACATTGGTCGGCCATTTTGGCCCTGCCCTACCCCGGGGGTCATGATTTGAACAAACTTGAATCTACACTACCTGAGCATGCTTCCATATAAATATGATGAATTATGGCTTTGTCATTCTTGAGAAGAAGATTTTTAAAGAATTTTCCTATATATTTCTATGTAAAACTTTGGTCGGCCATTTTGGCCCCGCCCTACCCCCAGGGGTCATGATTTGAACAAACTTGAATCTACACTACCTGAGCATGTTTCCATATAAATATGATGAATTATGGCTTTGTCATTCTTGAGAAGAAGATTTTTAAAGAATTTTCCTATATATTTCTATGTAAAACTTTGGTCGGCCATTTTGGCCTCGCCCTTACCCGGGGGGTCATGATTTGAACAAACTTGAATCTACACTATATGAGCATGCTCCCATGATGAATTATGGCTTTGTCATTCTTGAGAAGAAGATTTTTAAAGAATTTTCCTATATATTTCTATGTAAAACTTTGGTCGGCCATTTTGGCCCCGCCCTACCCCCGGGGGTCATGATTTGAACAAACTTGAATCTACACTACCTGAGCATGCTTCCATATATATATATGATGAATTATGGCTTTGTCATTCTGGAGAAGAAGATTTTTAAAGAATTTTCCTATATATTTCTATGTAAAACTTTGGTCGGCCATTTTGGCCCCGCTTTACCCCCGGGGGTCATGATTTGAACAAAATTGAATCTACACTACCTGAACATGCTTCCATATAAATATGATGAATAATGGCTTTGTCATTCTTGAGAAGAAGATTTTTAAAGAATTTTCCTATATATTTCTATGTAAAACATTGGT